GCTTGGAGGCGACATGGTGCTCATGCTGTAATCCTAGCACTCTGGAGGCTGAGGCGGGCGGATTGCTAAGGTCAGGAGTTTGAAACCAGCCTCAGCAAGAGCAAGATCCTATCTCTAAATAGAAAGAATTGGCAACTAATATATATATATATATATATATATATATATAGAAAAAATTAGCCAGGCATAGTGGTGCACGCCTGTAGTCCCAGCTACTCGGGAAGCTGAGGCAGCAGGATTGCTTGAGCCCAGGAGTTTGAGGTTGCTGTGAGCTAGGCTGATGCCATGGCACTCACTCTAGCCCAGGCAACAGAGTGAGACCGTCTCAAAACCAAACAAACAGGGGGAGGGGAGAAATGGGCATTTATTGAACCTTAAAATCTGTACCCCATAAAATGCCGAAAAAACCAAAAAACAAAAACCCAACCAAACAAAAAACCATCTTGAGCATAGTGGGCTGCGTATTGAATATCTGGCCTCTAACCCCCTAATACTTGTGTTTTTTTGAGACAGAGTCTCACTCTGTTGCCCAGGCTAGAGTGCTGTGACATCAGCCTAGCTCACAACAACCTCAAACTCCTGGGCTCAAGCGATCCTCCTGCCTTAGCCTCCCAGAGTGCTTGGATTATACGCATGAGCCACCATGCTTGGCCTCCATAATACTTGAAAGTCTAATCACTGTCCTATTTCTTGTTTCTTTAGTCAGTCTGAGAGGAAGATAGGGATTTCAGGAGTCACAGATGATTTAAAATGTATTTTGAACAAAAGCTGCAAGTAAGCCAGAAACTATGAAAAAGAAAAAAGAGCTGGTGTGGGGGCCAGGCTTTGCCACTTGTGGTCATTTGAATTCGGCAAATCACAGTTTTTCTGGCCCCAGGTTCCTGCTGGGAGGTGGGGATGAGGCGCCCTGTCCTCCTTCTCAGGGTACTTGAGGCTGTGGGTAGTGTTAGCCACCCGTGTGGCCCCATGCATGCTACCTTCATCTGCCTCCCCGCAGCCTGGAGCCCCTGGAGGCAGAGCAGCTCAGAAAACAGAAGAATGAGGTCAGAGCAGGCAGTGACCTCTGCTCGGAAGTCTTCCCTCACCCCCAGGCCAGAGCTGCTGCTGCAGGTGGCACAGTGATGCCCTTGTGGGATCGTCACTGCTCCAAGTTGACTGTGTGCTGCAGCCATTATCTCAGGGCCTCAACTACTGGCTGCTTTGTCCTCCATTCCCTCCCCTAACCCCAGAGAAGGTCTGGCCAGAAAGATGTTTCTGAAAATGAAGGCATCTTGAGTAATGGTGCTCAGCCCTCAGCAAACTCTCCTGGCCAGTCCCCTCCATTGAACGTGGAGCCAGACGTTCACAGGCAGTGAAGAGGCAGGAAGCAGGTGTGCAGCCACAGGGGGGGCTCCTCAGGGTGGGTGCAGAGCCCTCTTGTGCTGAGTCCTGCAACAAAGGCTGCATGGCTTCCAGCCGACCCCCTGCCCCAACACTCTGGCCCAGGCGGCTCCCCAGCTTCCTCTCAGAGTAACAGCAAGAGGTGAGACACAAAAGAGCAAGCCAAGCACGTGTTACCCTCATCACCACTTCCTAGCAGTGGGGACACCAAACAAAGGTACTCACGGCTAAGAAACGGGATGCCTCCAAAAACGAGGTCACTGGAGTTCAGCCGAGAGCGCCAAAATGCCCTGTAGACTTTGTGGCCCATCAGCCTATTCTGGAGGAGCCTGAGAAACAATCCCAATACGGACGACTACCAGTGTTCAATGTGTCTCATCAAAACCATCCGTCCTGCCACCCTCTTGTTGACTCCAGGTATTGGATGTTACTCAAGGTTGACGATTTGACAGCAAAAAGACTGGTATCTCATGGTTTTAATTTGTATTTTTAATTAGGGAGCTTGACCATTTTCCAAATAGTCGTAGGCCATTTATATTTCTTCTTCTGAGACTGGCCTGTTCACATCCTTTGTTCACTTGTCTACTGGCCACTCTTCCTTAATAATTCATAGGTACCTGTATATTATGATATCATCCTTTGTATATACTTTCTATTTCTCAGTCATTTGTCTTTTGTTGATGTTTCTTATACAAAAAGTTTTACAGTTTCACAAGGTCCCACATTGTCTTTCCTTTGGCTCGGAGTTTCTTGTTAGCTCAGAATTTCTTTCTTTCACCAAGATGATTCGCTGCTGCCTCAGACATTCTGAGAACAAGGCTACGACACTTGCAGTGGCAGCAAAACATCTTATTCAAAAGAAAATGTTTATTTTTAAAAATAAGAACTATTACCCAAGCATTTATTTAAATATTAATAGATACGAGTAAAAATTCAAATGGCATTACAGAATAACAGCTTTGTGTTCACAGATGGTCGGATGCTGACAAACAAGAGAAGATCTATGCACGTTGAGATTGGTTGTTATGAGAATGCATATGAAGGCTTAAGAAACGGTCTATTTATAGGCTTTGGTGGAGCCATAATCCCCATTTTCTACTGTTCCTGATGTGCTTGCGAACCATGCACGGGTGAACCGATCCAATTATGCTGGACGATTTAGTTTTGGGAGATACTTTTCTGTATGTGGTGGATCCCTAGAGATGTGACAAGAAAAGAATGTTAAAATATTAAATAAAAACGAAAGTGAATGACTTTCTCTCAACTTGCATGGAAGTAAAATCCATGATCTTCCTTGGTCTCATGTGTTTTGTGGTATTTTCTACCTATATACCTGGGCGAGGTAAGTTTCCTTTAGACTCAAGGAATAAAAGACTGCTGCTCTTCACACAGATTTGTCCTGAATTTGTCTTTCTAAAATGTCAAGGATTATTTCTAATCCTATGACTTGTGACCAATCCACCGCTTCTCTTTCCACCCACATCTTCCAAGCCTACAGCCAGAGCCTCTCCCTGAAGACAAGGAAACTGAGATCCACACACCCCAGCTTATTCTAACCAAATAAAGGAAGTGAAAACACTTTGCTGAAGCCCCAAATCCCCGCTGGCAGACACCTTGGAATTATGGACTTGTGCGTCTGAGCAAGGCAGCTTTGGAGTAAGTCAGAAGTGGGGGCAGAGCCCAGTCTCTTCCTGAGCCAGCCCCAACCGAGGCGAAGAACAGAGTGGCTCCCTGGGGAGGGCCCGAATATGCCTCATCCACTGGCAGCGCACCTCTCCACCGGCCGGCTACCGCCCACAACCCGGATCTGCCAGTTCCCTCCCACTCACTGCCTTTTAAGCCAGGGAAGAAGCCCCTGCATAATTATGAAGTCTTCAGGCTCTCACTTTCCTTGCAGACCTGAAGATAACAGCTCCCCATCCCCAGATGAAACAAAACAAACAGAAAACGCCACAGGCCAGCATGTTTACGGTGATGATGGCAGGCAAGTCCCTACAGAAGCCTTTCTCTGCTTTATAAACAGGTCCAATATCAGTTCTCTACCACCAGGGCATGCAAGTAGCCTCCTGGGTCAGGTATCTTGGTTACAGCTGTGAGTAATGCATTCTGT